GCACACCTTTAATCCCAGCACTCAGGAGGCAGAGGCAGGCAGATCTCTGAATTTGAGGCCAGCCTGATCTACAGGGCGAGTTCCAGGACAGCCAGAGCTACACAGAGAAATCCTGTCTCAAAAAAACAAAAAGAGAAAAAGAGGAAGGAAGGAAGGGAAGGAAAGAAGGAAGAGAAAAGAAAAACCCCTCACAAGTGTGCCACTTTATTAGGTGTTAATTGATTTCAGGTATAGTCAGGTTGACAACCAGGATTAGTCATCACATGCCTTATGTCCTCCTAGCCACTGTGCCATACCTTCAGGCCAGTAGATTCTGTATTAAGTCTTATTGATGAAGTAAACAGGGTTCATGATAGCCCCAAGGACCTGGGGTATTATTGAAATCTTACCTTCATTTATTATAGAGCTTCCCCTGGGGAATGGGCTTTTGTTCTTGCAAAGACATAGCTATGGTCTATGTTACTACATTTGTCACAACTGGTAGGCAGCATTTCCTCCTACACCCATGGCTGTCTTTGTAGGCAGAACACATAAGCGCACACAGCAGGGTGGGCAGATGGAAACAGGTCACTTCAGCAGAGAAGGGCAGTAGGAAGGAAAGCATGTGAGCTTTGGGGTCAGTTCTCTGTCCCATAAGATGTTCACTTTTAGACTAGGGGCGGGTGATACCCCATCTCTGAGCATGTATTTTTGAACATGAAGAACAGAGAACATATGTACTCCGTCGAGGGTATATTACATTACATATATTCCATTTGCAAGAGTGGTATACCACATTAATCATACTGCAGAGACTTAGGTTGCTTTATTCCTGGACGAGAGTTAGCAAGAATATTTCCTGAGGGCCCTGCCTGTTGGACCATGGCTGCCCTGCGTGGGTATGTGTGATGATAAGCCATGCTTCACCTGAAGGGGAATACATTACCATGAAGAAGAGTATCGAGGTGAGGGCCATGGGCTCTCTTTGGACAGCCAGATGGTCTTTTAAAGGCTTTTGAGAGCACTTGATGTGCTTTCTCCTCGGTAGTTAACTGGATCACTGCCTCAAAATACCTTAGACCTGTGATCACTTTGACCATGGGTAGGGATTCTAAGCTAAGTACTAATATAGCCTCATCTTCTTGCCTCACAACTCACCCTTCCTCATACCATGTTTGAACTTGAGCAGCAAGTTTGCCTTTGCTATGCTAAAAATCCAGAAGAAACTAGCAATAGAAAGAACAAACCCCAACATAATAAAGGCTATATACAACACTAGTATAGCCAACATTATACTAAATGAGGTTAAACTAAGAGCATTACCTCTGAAACATGAAGCCAGATACAGGTGTCCGCTGTCTCCACTCTCACTCAATGTAGTGTTTAAAGTCTCAACCAAAGCAATAAGACAAGAAAAAGAAATAATACACGTGTAGGGGGTGCTGGAGGAGATGTCTCTGCAGTTAGCAGAGGACTTGGGTCTGAGTCCCAGCATCCACGTGGTAGTTCACAACCATCTGTAACTCCAGTTCCAGGAGATTTGTTACCGTCTTCTGATCACTACAGGCACCAAGCACACACATAGTACACATACATACATGTAGGCAAAACACTCACACATAAAACAAAATAGATAATGTTAATTTAAAAAAAAAAGAACACAAATAGGAAATGAAGAAGTCAAATTATCTGGATTTGTACACAACATAAGCCTGTACTTAAAAGGCCCTAAATATTCCAACAGTATCTTAGTCACCATCCCATTGCTGTGAAGAGACACTTAAATGACATTCTGTAGGTCTCTGAAGTGTTTGAAAACCATCTGTCTAAAATATATCTGTGTTGAAACTAGAAAACATATCTAACATGACTATGAATTTGATTATTGTAGATAACTAGCTACTAATCTGAATTTCTTAGTTATCCTAAATAGTTTGTAACAATATCTTTCAAGGACTAGAAATTTACATTACATTTTTAAATAAGCTGCATAGGTACAATACCTTAAATAAGAGTAGAAACATATATACAGGATTACAAAGATAATCTTAAATTTGTATCAATATACAAAAATCCATAACAATGTAAAATATTTTAGGCTAGCAGTTGCTTTTTAGTTTAAAAGTAGATTCAATAATCTGCCCTTTTATCCTATACCCTCTTCCTTTCTTTTCAGAAAAAGATGCCTGAATCTAACCTCTTTTCTTTAGGTTTTTTTTCCCATGATCTTGACCAATAACAACTTGCAACTAACCCCCTAAACAATGATAAATATCTATAACTCATCAAAGAACCAAAACCCACTCACTCCACCTCTTGGGAATGTAGGTTCATGTTCTTAAAATTACTTCCTGTTGTCTGGGGGGGGGGGTAATGCCATTCTTCAGGGGTCACTGAAAAAATTAAGATAATGGTCAAGTCCTGGAAGTTATTGTCCAGTCTCAGAGTGATGGGAAAGTTCAGGGCTTATCTGAACTCATGACTGGAGTATGAGGCTGGATCATTTCAGCCAGTAATTATCACTTTACTGCTTCTTTAAAGACTTTCCTTTACTATTTTTTCTATCATTTTCTATCATTGTCTATACCCATTTTCTTTTCTTTCTTCAGCATCTGAGTGCATTTTTTTTTAAGCATACTGCACCTATTCAGAGGTTTTCTCAGCTTAGACCTGGCTTTTTTGTTTGTTTCTTTGTTTGTTTTTTGGGTTTTTGTTTTTGTTGTTGTTTGTTTTTTTGCCAGTCTGCAGCTTTTCTCTGAGCTAAACCTTAAACTGTTAGGCTACCGACTGAGAGTCTCTGCTTACTGCATGGTGCTAGCAGCTGGTTCCGTCCCCTTCGGGTTCCTGGGAGCCAATAGGCCCTTTGTACCAGCCATGTACCAATCCAAGCTCTGGGAAGCCATCGGGCCTGCGCTGCAGCAAGAGTTTCTGTCTATAGTCTCCCATTCTGTTTAGTAGTGCACTGCTCAAGTGCCCAGCTGTGTTGCGTGGATTCTTAAAGGCGCCACACCTCTGTATGCTGCGGGCAGTGGGCCCCATTTATGTGCCCCACGTTGGCCAGCAAATAATTTGACTTTCTTTTGGGGACCACCAGCTCCCAAATAACGACACAGATAATTTTTATTAATTACAAGTGCAAGCGTTCGCAAGTAGCTTAGCTTAGGCTTGTTCACAACTACCTCTTATAACTTAAATGAATCCATTTACATTCATCTACATTCTGCCATGTGGCTCGTTAACTTTCCTCCATAATGTATGCCTGCCTGCTTCCATGTCTCCGTGGTGAAATCCACAAATCTAGATTCTTTCCCCTGAGTTCCTTCCTCTGCCTGGGAGTCCCACTAACCTCTAGCTAGTGGCCATTCAGCTTTTTATTAAACCAATCATTGCCATGACACACCTTCACACAGTGATAACAAATATCTGGCAACCACTTCTCACCCCAAACCATAAGCCTCTTCCCAAAGATGCTGATCTAGGAGTGGAGAATATCTCCATCCACAACGGTGTACCACATAAATCCAAATTCAACTCTCTTTGTCACCTATTCCAATATGTTGAGATTTCGAGACGCACGGTTTCTTAATTTCTGGGATACCTTTCAGGCAGACTCGAATTTATGCCAAGCTTTTTGACTCCGGTTTTAACTGAACTGAGCACTTGTTGGGGGAGTGGGCAGCTCTAAAGCTGCAGAGGCCTGGGGCCAGGCGGCAGGACTGGATACTGTGTCCCCTTGGACAGGTCTGAACCTGTCCAGCTTCTTCAGAAGATTCTTCAGCAGCTTCAGAACCAGGCCCATAGCTTCTAGCCAGGAGTCCAGGGTCTTTGAGGGTCTTCAAAACACTGGGTTTTATTGAAGCAGGCATGATCTGAGGGGTCTGAGTCAATACTCGTCCTTTTCCTCCTACCTCCCCCAAACAGAGACCCTCTCTTTTCTATGCTGCCTGAGGATGGGGGATGGGGGAGAATAGTGGGTACTCTAAAGCACCCTTCCCACCTTTTTCAATGTTTTTCTTTCTCTTACCAAACAGCTACTTGGGGTTTGTTTTTTTTTTTTCCTGTCCAGATAGGAGCCACGAGTGGCTGAGGAGCTCTTCCGGAGGGAAGGCAATGGTTATATGGAAGCAGCAATAGGTGGCGCCCTCTAGTGTCCTGAGCTGAAGTATCTACGTTCCTCAGTCCTTGGAGGCCTAGACTCTGTCCCAAATTTTTACTTTCTTTTTAATTAAAAACAAACAAACAAACAAATGAACAGCTGATGGAAGAGAGCGCTGGAGAGATGATTCTGCCATTAAGAGAATGTACATTAAGAAACGTCTCACTGCTCATCTTGCAGAGGCCCAGAGTTGGGTTCCCAGCACTGGATAGCTCACAACTTCTAACACTCCAGTTCTAAGAGATCTGACACCATCTTATGCTCCGTGGGTACTGCACTCTTGTGTGCAGACACCACACACACACACATACACAATTTAAAAAGTGTGTGCTCTCATAGCTTCCTAGAGACATAAGAAATTTCCCTAGAGAGTAAGAGGAGGTGGACAAGATGGTGCAGCGGGCGAAGGAGATGCTTCTGCCAAGCCCGATGATCTGAGTTCCATCCCTGGGACCCACGTAGTGGAAGAAGGGAACTGACTCCCTAAAGTTGTCGTCTGACCAACACACACACACACACACACACACACACACACACACACACACATCACCATGATACATGCATGCCACGATGCATACACAAGCATGTGTGCGCAAGCACACACACTAAAATGTCCAAAATTATCTTTGTCTTTTTGTTTTTGATTTTGTTTTTTTAAGAGGAGGAATACCTGAAATTTGTGAAAAACCATCTTGGGTAGAAAGTGCAAAGACTAACTGCCACCTCTCTGAGGGTTCATGTAACCTCTGTGTCCCCACTTCTCAAGCAAAACACAAGCAGTGCAGCAGTTATTCATTCACATTCAAAATATTCAGAAAAGGAGTGGGTACAGGCAAAAGTGTTCAACTTTATTACGCGACCGGCCTGAGGCAGCCCACTGGATTCCACAGGGCTTTGGAGGATAACGGCCTTGAGGAACAAATGGTTTGTTCAGATCGTGATCGTGAAGTACGTGATGGTGGGCAGGACTATATAGTCTTTGATTCCTTCTGGCTTCTCTTGGGGTTGGTCTGGCTTCTGGATGACTTTGTGCTTTTTGTTTTCCAGTTCATTGACGCAACAGTATTTCGCATGCAGACATCCCACCTCCGCTATCTCCCCTAATTTGCATTTCTTCCTGCAGTAGCCTGATACATTGTTAAAACATCTTTTGGGTTGTACACCATCTGAACACAGGAAAAAAACATTGAGCAGGGTTAATTTCTGAGGGAAAGCAGAGATGCAGCTGGGTTTCACACTCACAGGGACAACAGACACTACCCTCTGCCAGCATCTCCTCCTTCCCAAAAGGAAACCTTACGCTTAATATAAGGAAACTCAGAACACCCAGATTAAGGACACTCAAGGGGCTGGAGAGATGGCTCAGATGCTAAGACTGCTTGCTATACTTGCAAAGGATCCATGTTTGATTCCCAGCATCCACGTGGTGGTTCACAGCTATCTGTAATGTTTCAAGAGGCCCAACACCCTTTCCTGGCCTCTGTGGGCACTAAACACACATGTGGAGCACATACATTACAAGGATTCAGGCATTACACTGGCCTGCCCTGTCCCCTGGCAGAATGCACTCAGGCAGTACCCTGGTCAGCCCAGGGTTCCATGGTTGCATAGTCTGCACGCAGGTGCAAAGGACCCCTTTAAAAGAAAGACCTCCGCCCTCTAATGCTCTCTTTCCAATCTCTTTCCCATCTTTCTTTCCTGCTGTTCCCCTGGGGCAGACAGGGCTATTCCTATCTCCCTCTTCCCTTCTGTCCTCTCTCTGTCTCTGTGTCTCTGTCTCTCTTTACCTCTTTTCTCTTTCCTTCTCCCTCCCTCCCCTTTCTAATAAAACTTCTAAGCTCTGTCTGCCTGGCATGTTTGTCCCTCTGCCTAGGTCAACCTTGTCTGCCATAGAATCCACCAAGGTCACCCAGGCAAAAGTTCCCCTCTCACATTATCATAACATACATATGTACTGGCAGAACACTTGTACATGTAAAATTAATCTTTAATTACAATTAAAAAAAAAAAAAAGGACAGTTGGATCTGGTCAGTACCGAAATAGCCTTAGAAATCCCCATGACAAGAAAGGAGTCAGTCTCAGCCTGAACTGGGTACCATCCTAAACCAGGCAAAGCTCACCCTGCTTCATGCTCTGAAGTCAGCACTCCCTCAGCCTTTTCCCCAGAGACACTGGGGAATGCATCCCCATCAGTACACTTCAGAGCCAAATCAGCCTTTAAAAGAACACGCAGGCAGGATGACCCTGCACATACGACATACGACAGGCACCTGCCATGACAGCCTATGCCCAATCCCTGCAACCCGCATAAGTGGAAGGGGAAAGTAAGTCCACAGCGTTGTCCTCTGACCTCCACTTACACCCCACACATGTACAACAACAATCTAATAAAGTTTAATTGTTGGCTTCAGGAGACAGACTCGGATACTCATTCTCACGTGGCAAACACACTCTTACTTATTGAGCATCTCAGGAATTTCTTTTTAATTTAAAAGAAAATCACAGAGGTCAGGAGAGATATCTCAGGAGGTTTGAAAAAAAAAAAAAAGACTTGCTGCACAACATCTGAGTTCAAATGCCTTGTACAGGTGTGGCTGTGCCCATAACCCCAGCAGTGACTGTTGGGGGACAAAGTAAAACAGGAGGGTTGTGAGGTTTGCCAGCTGCCAGCCTAGCTCTAAGTTCAGTAAGAGAGCCCATCTCAAGGGAGTGAGGCAGAGAATGTAGATCAGGACACCCAGGGAATGTGGGTGGATATGCACAATACACACACACACACACACACACACACACACACACACACCATCACAAACACACATGGATTCAGACATGTAGTATCACAGACTCTCTCTCTCCCTTTCTCTTCCTCTCTCTCTCTCTCTCTCTCTCTCTCTCTCTCTCTCACACACACACACACACACACACACAGTATAAGCAGTCCTTTTATGTTTCACAGTTGGAGGCTGCAGGCATCACCCTTGCCAAGATCTCATGAGTGTCAGCCACTGTTGCTCCCAAGAACTCCTTCTGCTCATCCCAGACAACTTCTCCAGAACCTGGCTGCCCTCTCACTTTCTTCTGCAACTCAGATAAAAATGTCTTACCTAGTGTGCAAGCATAGCTTGATGGATACCTCTGCCACTCAAGATCCCAGCTTCCCCCTACTCATGCACTAAGATCCCAATGTCTCTGCCTAAGCTTTCATTTCCCTCTCTACACAAAACCAGGCAAGCCTGCAGAATAAATGTGGACAACAAAGCTGTGTCCTCCCTGTTCTCAGACTTCATAATGAGCAACAACACCCTTGAGGATGAGAGGGCTGAACTTGAGGACCATGAAAAATGCAATATGGTTCCTGCCTGGCAATCAAGGCAAAAGGGGAGTCCTTGGCGCCAGAATTCTTCCCACCAATGCAAGGCTTCACATCTTTGCATCTGAACTAGAAACGTTACACTCACTTGCCAGAGAAAAATTAAGGTTAAAGGGAATCATTCTCTCGGTTAATTAGCTACTTAATGATGAAGAAAGGCTTTGCTGAGTGCTGTTCACATCACTGCTGCAGCCCAGGCAGAAAATGAATTTGAGGAGAAGTGGGGGTGGCCAAAGTTCTCAGATAAAAACTACTCAGCGTCCTAACGATGAGTCCAGATGATGTTATGATCAGTACCTTCTGCGAGGATGCCTCTGAGCTCATTGCTTGCTCTCTCCCAGGCACCCAGGAGAATGGACACTACTGATGATGTTAGTCAGCTATCAGCAATCTTCAACTCCCACCCCTGTAGTCACCAGCAATACTGTCCCCTACTTCATTCGGACAAGTTACCTGCAAGTACCACAAACAGCAGAACAATGAGAACCTTAAGCAGCTTCATGTTTACAGACCCTCCAGACACAGTGGGGTATCCTGCAGTGCAGAGCAGCTCACAGCACCACATGCCAAGCTTTGATTTTAACTCACATGGACAGACAGGGAGCCCAAGCCCAACCCCACCTACACCCCCAGATTTGGAATCCCTGGTCACATAATGTTCCATCCTCTCCCACCTACTCTCTTTTCCTCAGGATGTGAACCCCTACTCTGCTTTCTCCACCTGGCTGTCAGCCCACTTGGCTCAAAAATTGTTGGCTATATTCCCTGGTTTGTATGGGCCATCCCTGCTTTGCCTCTCTTTCACAAAAACAATCCAAAATGACACATCACATTAGATTAGAACACAGGGAGACTGAAGACAAGATACCCAGCAAAACAATGCTTTATTCACAAACTTTTAGCCACATCCTCAGCTCAGCATCCACCTTGCATCATTTAGGAAGCAGCCTGTGCTGAGACCATTAGTATTACTAGTTTCCTTCGGATGACACTATTACACCTTGAAAGTAACACCGATCATCTACTTCATGCATTCATCCTTAAGTCTGACCATCCATCTGGCAGGTTCTTTCAAGTCTCTGAGCTGTCAAATTGCCATCGGGAAGAAGCACACAGCCTCCTCATTTTCAAAGCTGTTTATGGCTAAGTATCAAGTTTCCTCTTGAGTAGGCTGGAAAAGATAACGAAATCTTGCTTTATAGATGTGGCCAGGTTTTTGGTTTTGTTTTTTTTTTTTTTTTTTTAATCACCTGTCAACATATTTACTCCCACCAACATCCACAGCCACACAAATTGTTTCTAATACCTAACTTATAAATAGATTTTAAATGTGTTTCACTTCTGATGAAGGATCTCTGAATTCTACTTAAGATGTTATCTTTCCAAACTGTTGCCCAGGCTGAATTTGGAAGAACAGGAGTACTAATTCTCACACAAAAAGACTGAGACAGTTGAGAGTGTTTGTTTAGAAGCAGAGAATGGGGGTTTGATAATTCAAGCTACAAAAATCAGACATGCATTTATTAAAAAGAACAGAAAAATCCCTTTTTAAAAAAGGGTTCATTTATTTTTATTTTATATGTATGAGTGTTTGCCAACATAAATGTCTGTGTACCACATGCATACCTAGTGCCCATGGAGCCCAAGGGGAGGTGTCAGATCCCCTGGACCTGGAGTTATAGAGAGCTGGAAGCTGCCATGTGGGTGCTGGGAATCGAACCTGGGTCCTCTGCATGAGCAAGCAGGGCTCTTAACTGCTCCAGCCCCTGATACTCCCTTTAACACACATGCTTTAAAAGGAAATACTTTTTCTACTTTTACTCCACAAACGGTCTTGCTAGCTCAAATTCCAGGGCCCATTTAGGGCTGCACACATTTCTTGGGATGCTGTGTTCCTAAGATTTAATGTATCCTGAGAAAGTGTGTATTGTGGGGATTGAGAAGACTGCTCAGTGGTTAAGAAGCACTTGACCTTGCAGAAGACCCAAGTTCTGTTCTCAGCACCCACATGATAGCTCACAGCCATCCACAACTCCAATCCTAGGGTATCTGATGTCCTGTTCTGACCTCCATGGACACTAGGTGTGCATGTTGTATACAGACATACAGGTGAGTAAAACATGCATATACATAAAATAAAATAAATAAATATTAAACTAGGCATGGTAGTGTATGCCTTTAATCTCAGCACTTGGGAGGCAGAGGCAGCTGAATCTCTGAATTCCAAGCCAGTCTGGTCTACAGAACTAGTTCCAGAACAGCCAGGGCTACACAGAGAAACCCTGTCTCATAAATAAATAAATAAATAAATAAATAAATAAATAAATAAATAAACACGCCTTTAATCCCAGCACTCAGGAGGCAGAGACAAGTGGATCTCTGAGTTCTAGACTTTGAGTTCTACACTGCCTAGACTACACAGCAAGTTCCAGGGCAGCCAGAGCTGTCTTGGAAAAACCAAAATGAAAACAAAGAAACCTGAAGAAGGAAAAATATGTTTATGAAATGCACATCTGAGCCCCCATTTTAGAACTTGGTTAGCAATTATTAAACACTACATGATAATGGGCTGAGGGCGTGGCTCTGTCAATAAAGCACTTGCAAGCATAAACACCTGAGTTCCTTCCCCAGAACCCATGGGAAAATGCCAGGCATAGGGGCATTCCAATCATCAACTGATGAGGGATGCTTCTATGTATCTAGTCACAAACTGATTCCAAGTAAACATTCCTCCTTCATTTAAAACAAAGTTTAAAAGAGTAGCAAATAGGTGCTGGCCAGCCACACTCAGATCCTCAGGCTTGTATGGCACGCACTGTACTGGCTGAACCATCTGCCAGGCCCCCCAGCTGCAGAGGGTTTTCTCTGAGATATATCCAAAACTTTAAATCTGAGCCCAATACATCTGTTCCTTGGGTAGGCTGCCACAGATAGATCAGAGGTATGCCAAAAGTAATTTATAGCCAGTTTCCAAATAATGGAAACTTGGCTCTTTGATGAAGGATTCTGAGTGCCCTTCCAAATGTTCAGAAAAAATAAATATTTTTTTTCTTCCAAAATATCCTCTGTTTTATTTGGTAAGTTGTTTTGAGAAGACATCTATGTGTTTAAGTAAAAATGCAAACAAAACACCTGCCCACGCTGGCACACACCTTCAATCCCAGCACTCAGGAAGCAAACAAAGGTGAATGTCTAAGTTTAAGGCCAACCTGGTCTACAAAGTGGGTTTTTGAGTTTCAGGCCAACCAGGGCTATATAATGAGATCCTATCATGAAAGAAAGAAAGAAAGAAAGAAAGAAAGAAAGAAAGAAAGAAAGAAAGAAAGAAGAAAGAAGAAAGAAAGAAAGAAGAAAGAAAGAAAGGAAGGAAGGAAGGAAGGAAGAAAGAAAGGAAAGAAGAAAGAAAGGTGAGGGAGGGAGGGAGGGAGGGAGAGAGAGAGGGAAAAACTTCCCCACTTAGAAGCATTCCTCATTGCTTTAGACATAAAATAGTAGTTACAAGTAACTTTTCAATGTCTTAAAACAGTGGTTCTTAACCTGTGGGTCATGACCCCTTTGAGAGTCAAATGAGCCTTTCTACAGAGGTCACCTAAGGCCATCAGAAAACACAGATATTTATATTATGATTCATAACAGTAACAAAATTACACTTATAAAGTAGCAATGAAAATAATTTTATGGTGTGGATTACTACAGCATAAGGAACTGTATTAAAGGGTCATAGCATAGAAAAAAAACACTTTCTTAGAGGAATAAATTTTCATAGTTCAGAAAGCATGGATTTAAAAACTAGCCAAAAGTATATCTTTAGTCTATTTGTTTTCTATTATCAGACCAAGAAGCAGAAAAAAGATACTTTCCCAGCTGGAACTCTCCATCCAGGAATACTACAGTCCTTTGAATGACACCTTTGAATGGCTAGCCCAGCTTTCCTTATCTTCCACTGAAATGCCAAACTTTGGATTTCAAGTACCACCTAGTGGCCAATTCTTTTTCCTAGTTGCTCAGCCATCTGAACTTTCAATATTGTATTATAACTCAACAGAAATGACAAAAATCCATTGTTCTGCATGGTCCGTAGACATCTAGCGACCTCAACCTCAAAGAATGTTCTAACAGATCTGGAGACGCCTCAGAGGTAAAGGGCACTCACTGTTCTTGCACAGGACCCAGCTGACATGAATTTGCTCACAACCACCTGTAACTCTAGTTCCCAGGAATCCAACAGCCTATTCTAACCTCCACAGGAGGAGGCAGTAAAAAGTAGGGTCCCAGGGGCTCCATAGCCAGGCAGTCTCGATAATTAGTGAGTTCCATATTGGGTGAGATGCTGAATGTGCTAGCCCACGACTTTAATCCCAGCATTCAGGAGGCAGAGGCTGTGGCTCTCTGTGAGCACGAGGCCAGCATGGTCTACTGTGGCAGTTTGAATGTAATTGGCCCCCATGGGCTCATAGAGTGGCATTGTTAGGAGGTGCAGCTTTGTTGGAATAGGTATGGCATTGTTGGAGGGAGTGTGTTGCTGTGGAGGCAGGATTTGAGATCTCATATATGCTCAAACTATGCCCAGTCTCTCATGCCAATGCTAGAATTTGAGAGAAAGATCTATTGCTGAAGACCATAAAATTGAGTCAGAATGGAGAAATCAAGTGAATATTGGTCTTAGTGCGTCTTCCCTGTTGAGTAGCTCTCGCAGTGCTGGGAGGTACTATGAGTGCTACCTACCGGAGAGGAAAGGTGATTGCCAGTCTTGCCTGCTGCAAATCCTGTGAGCTGCAACAATGACCGGCCTGGCAACATATGCCCCCGCGCAATAGTATGATGCTCACACTACAGGGGGTGGATCCACATACAAGAAAGTTTGGGCAGCACAAATGAGTTATTTTATTTTAAAAATAAATGAGGGACTGGAGAGACATCTCAGTGGCTAAGAATTTGGACTTAGATCCAGATACTTGCATGGCAAGCACTCTAACCCACCACATCATCTCTCCAGCTCCTGGTATTTATTGTGTTGTCCTTTGAGAAATGTCTCCTTTCTCTTTATTATTTCTGTTTCCCATTTGGCAATTGTCATAATTTAATGTTTTTAATTTTTTATCGATGCCTATTCTTTTATTTCTTAATTAAAATATATTATGTCATTTCCTCCTTTTCTTTCCTCTCTCCCATCCATTTCATGTTGCTTTCTCTCAAATCATGGCCTTTTATCTCCATATCTATGTATAGAGACATATCCATAGAAATATAATACAGCATGCTGAGTCCATTAGTGTTGTGTGAAGGATTTCAGAGATGACCACTTGGAATTGGATAACCAGTTAAGAGGCTCACCCTAGGGATGACTTACTCTCCCTCTCCCAGGACTCCTTAGTTACCTGTGGCTCTTTGTTTAGGAGTGAGGCCCATGAGATCTCCCCATTCCAAAACAGCATGACTATTTGTGTTGTCCTTGTTCAGGTCCTGCTTAGGCAGGTGTATTGTTAAGGCCTCATGGGTGTAGCTAGATGTGAGTATACAACCTGGAGTAACCACAGAA